AACAACCACACAAGTGAAACTCTATACTACAAATGATCATTCAAATGAATGCTACGACACCACCATTTCCAAACTCATCAATTACAATTTCACATTTGCAATATGCAGATGACACTCTAAGTTTTTGCGATGCAGATATCCATCAAGTGAAAGGTATTGCGAGATTTTTAGAGTTCTGTGAAGTAACTTTGGGTCTAAAAGTGAACATATATTAACTTTTTCTGCACATAATTATATTATCTATGCTTCGTACCAAAAGTGTTAAGCACTAACCTTACTAAGTAAGAAAAAGTCATCTAGAAACTTATCACCTTGAGAATTTGAGAGGAATTTTCGAAATATAAAATCAAATTGATGTCTGCTCAAAACATTTTTTCTTCATAGCGCGCTCATGGTCTAACCAAAGAACAAGAGATTAAAAAGAAAAATATTTTAAGCCTTACCTCAAAACTCACTAAAAATTGTAGTGCTGGCATAAGAAAAATTCACTTCTCTGCCTTGATCATTATGGTTGTGAAAAAAATTAAGATAGAAAGCTTACCCGCTAATGTTTTGGTAAACGGGAAAGGTTTCTATACTTTTCCTATAGTTTGACAGATATATGCTTCCCCTCCGATCCAACCATCCAATTTAGATCAAGTGAGCCACACACTATTTGATCTAGATCCGATGGCTCATAGTATTTTATTTTTAAATTTTTTTACAAATTGAATGAATATGAAATTTGGTAACGTATCATCTTCTCAATGTGGCGCACCTACAAAAAATATTTGATAAAATATAATGATCAAAATACCCCTTAATACTTTCAGGGTTATTTTAGTTATTTTATTTTATTGAATATATATATATATATATATATATATAAGGAGTGGATGCCAAAAAATTGGTGTCAAAATAATTTCTAGAAAAAAATTAAAAATAAAATAGTGTAGAGACGTGACATTGTGATTGGGGCCATCTTAACCGTACATACAGAATGGACGGTTGGATAAGGGGAACCATATCAGTTCTATGATATGGGGAAGCATAAAAAGTTTGCCCAACATCAATTGCTTCATTGGTAGAAAATTTATTTGGTTGTGCCTATCATAAAGTTATCTGAGATAAACTTATGGGCAATTATATATATAAGTTTATCTTTGTTTTTGCTTTATCCAAAGTAATTTGTTGAACGTCACATGTGCTTGGACAATATTAGCTAAAAAGAGCTTGAAATCATTGAAAAAAATAAATACTTACATAAGAAAAAATTTTATATAAGGTTGAGGCCCTAAACAATCAAACTAAGGTGCCGCACAAAAATTTACCCAAAGAAGTTGTTTCGATGAAATTCAATCATCTCGATCTTGATAAAAAATGGACTTCAAGTCTTAAAAATAGTGCATCATATAATGCATTATCTAGACTGTCATTTTTCAAGATTTTCAAGTGTTCATAGATTTGTTTGATCTACATTATTGAAGCTTTAAATTTTATAATTACATATTACAAGCCATTACAAAGATTTTTGGTACTTAACAACATCTTTTATTATTATTTGAAGGTGCTCCTTACTTTGATTGTTTAGTGCCTTAGCCTTATATAAACTACATCTTTTTTATAATATAATATACATAGCCAAATCATCATCATCATCATAACTTTTTCTCAATTAATCAGAATCAGCTTAGATATGTACTAAATAACTAACAAAATAACTTTATTTATAATATCTAAATTTTAAATTTGGATGCAGTTTGTATGGAGTCGAGGCTCTAAATAATCAAATGAAAATTTCTTTCAAGAGGGCTGGACAGCATTTCTACATATACGGTCCAAAAAGTGTAAAGCATCCATCTCAACCATTGATGCAAATAGGTGATCCATATATAAACAATAGAAACTCACAGTCCAAATGTTTTTTTACAAGAATTATTATTTGTAGTTTTTAAAATTTATTTATTTTTCATATTCATGATCTCCATGTTAGAGATTACACATCCTTAAAAATTAAGTCTTAAAATCCATCTCAAAAATAGATTTTATTAAGAGGCCCACATTTCTACATATGCGGGTTTGGCCACATAGAATCTTGGTCCTAGTCAAATTAGAGCTCACCTTCAAATAGTGTCGAGAAATGTGGTTTCAATACTGGAAGTCTTTGTGATAGCCTTAAAATATATTTTCACATCTAATTATAAAATTTAAAGTTTAAAAAATAGTGTAGATCTATGAAAATTTTGAATTCGACGGTCCAAAAATGTGTTACAAGATGCACTATTTCCAAAACTTGAAATCCAATTTTTTTTTCTCATGTCTATTAATCTTGATGTCGAGATGATCAATTTGAGGATACTCGGGCAGCAAAATAACATCTTCCAGTAAAAGTTTGGTGGTTGGATCTAGTTTGATTGTTTTGAGCCTCGGCTCTATATAAACTTTTTCCTTTAATTTTATATTCTATATAAAATTAATTATTATCCACAAATTCCGTAGAGGGAGAGAGAGTAAACACTAAATTGGAGAGAGAGAAATTACCGAAGGCAGTAGATAAAGTTGTATCACAGGTGGACCCCAGCTCTGCTGTGCCCAACCCCTTCATATCCACCCCATACGCACCTCTCCAATTGGCCCACGCGACATACGTGTCAGAAGATCTGAGGACTTGACTCTTACTCACCCATCCACCCACAATATTAAGAAGGTCCCAACACTAACCGGAGTTCGGCCCGGGCTGCCATATTCTAAAATAGTAGTGCCTGGGCCACAACGTGTGGGCTATAGCTAGGATAGGACTAGTGCGAGCAATTTTGGCCTACCCTAGTCTATTTTTTTAGGGTGCGGTTTTCATCGAACCTAGGCTCTAAACAATTAAAAGAAAAATATCTCCGTACCCCATTTATAAGTTTTATATCTCAATAAACCTAAGGTTTCAAAACATATATTGAGTCATAAATATTCTAAGTTTTATATTTTTTAATCTCTTAAGCTAGCTTTATTCCTTTTAAATCTATTTTTTTGCCTGAAACAAATATAAAAAAGACATACTTTCTAAACATCATCCTTTCTCTCTCTTCACATGATTTTTCCCTAAATCTAGCTCTACCTATTTTCCCATTTTCTCTTCTCCCATGTCTCTCACTCTCTCTTCCCGGTTAGAGAGATAAAGAGAGTGAATGTTAGAGAGAGAGAAATTTGAGGAGAATATATCATATAAAAAGAGGAAGGGTTTAAAATGAACATGTCTTTTTTATATTTATTAGGGCCAAAAAAATAATTAAAAGTGGATAAAGTTAGTCAAGGGTTAAGAGATATACTTTTAGCCATTGGGACTATTGAGATATGAAAACAAAAAATAGGGGCGAGGAGGATATTTCCCCACAAATAAATTAGACCTTATGTGCAAATAGTATCGATAACTATCGTTTCAATATTGGAAATCTTTGTGATAGCCTTAAAATATAATTTTATCTTTATTTATAAAAGTTTAAAACTTCAAAATTCGTTTAGATCGATAGATCTATGAAAACTTGTAATTCTTGAAAATTGACGGTCAAAAAATGCGTTACAAAATACATGATTTCCAAAACTTGAAATCTATTTCTTTTTCATGTCTATGCATCTTGATGTCGAGATGATCAATTTGAGGATATTTGGGCATCAATACAACCTCTTCTAGTCAAATTTTTGAGATAGGCTCAAATTTGATCGTTTAGAGCCTCGTTCTATATAAACTTTTCTATTTTTTATGGATGTGGTTTATATATGGTTCCAATTTTAAACATTCCAAATAAATAATATGTCCAAATTTTATCATAACATGTAATTTTGTGTAAAAGATTTTTAAGATTATTTGAAAATCTATTTTTTATATTTAATTATAACATTTTAAACTCCAAAAATATTAAAATCAAGTAGATCTATAAACATATGAAAATCTTAAAATTGGAAGATCTAGCTAATGTGTTACAAGATGCAGTGTTTTTGGGACTTAAAATCTCTTTTTTTTTTTTTATATTCATAAATCTTTGGGACTCAAAATTATTATTTTTTTTTTTTCATATTCGTAAATATCCGAGATGATCAATTAGAGGGTTTTACTTACAACCTTACCTGGAATTTTGAGGTTAGTCCTTTATTCTACTTGTAACCTTATAAACTTTTTCCTCTCTTTATTTTCTTATTTATTTGGCAACCGGGCTCCATTCAAACGAGGGCCCAGTCCAGCCAGTTGCCATCTTGAGAACCACCAAAACCTGATCACCGCAACGTACGGCGAAATGAGAATATACAAATAGGGTTCCGAGAATAATAATCTTCCAAACTACTAAACTCAATCCAACGGTTGTGCTTCGCTTTCGACATTAATGCTGCCCTGTCATTTTAGTGGCAGACATAAGAGAGAGAGAGAGGGTTTCTAGAGAGAGAGAAGAGAGAGAGCAGCTTGGTTTGTAAAGAATGAAGGAAATATCCGATCGCCAGTTTTAGAGAGAGAAAGAGAGGGTGAGGAGGAACGGTTTCTGGATTGAGATTCGGGTTTAATTACTTGGTTTTAGATAGAGAAAGCGATTCCATTGTAGAGCAACAAAGGAGTTCTGGATTCCTGTTTAGTTTTAGAAAGAGAAATTGCAAATTTTGTTACTCGAGAGAGGAGAATTTCAATATTGTTTCAGTTGCAGAGAGGGAAATTGAGAAGGTTGAATTGTTTCATTGTTTTAGTTGCAGAGAAGGAAATTGAGAAGGTTGAATTGCAGAGAGAGAGAGAGAGAGAGAGAGAGAGAGAGAGAGAGAGAGAGAGAGTAGTTAGTTAGAGAAGAATATAGTAGTAGTAGTAGAGGAGGAGAGAGACGACGACGACGTACGTCGTACCGTCCGTAACCCGAACGAACGTAACGTAAC